AATTTGGTTAAAGGAAAATGTGCATTGTAATTCTGATATGCCAAACTGCCCTCCACAAAAGGTTATAATTCATACTCCCACTATACACGGTTACAAACACAATGTTCTACCAAAATGTTTTTTCTTTTATTTTGAGATAATTTCAAACTTACAGAAAAGTTTCAAGAATACTACAGAGAGATCTCTTTCCCCCCCTGAACCATTCAAAAGTAAATAACTGATTTGATACCCATTACTCCTGAATACTGTTAGTTTATATTATCAGGAAACACACTTCTATAACCACACCACAACCATCAAAATCAGGACATTAATATTGATATATTACTACCATCTTCTGCAGATCCCATTCAAATTTCACCAATTGTCCCAATAATGTACTTTTTTCAAAAAGGGATTTTATAGCAAGTGTTTCATTTAGTTTGTCATGTGTCTTTAGTCTTTGTCAATTTTGAAAAAATTTTCAGTCTTCCCTTCACATCATGACCTTGACACTTGTGAACATTAGATTAACTATTTTGTAATATGTCCTTCAATGATTACTGTTTCCTTGTGATTAGATGTAGGCTTGCATTTTTGTGCTATAAAATCACAGAAATGATGCAGAGTTCTTATTGCTTCCTCTCAGGTGGTATATGATTTTGACTTGATCCATTGTTGATGGTATTAACTGTAATCACTTGGTTAAAGGATTTCTGCCAGTTTTCTCTACTGTAAAGTTACATATTTTTGCTTTATGGCTAACAAGTATTTTGTGGGGAGATACTCTGAGACCATCATCAATGTTCACACATTAGTTTTAGTATCTACTGATGGTCTAGGTCAAATGAAGCATTATAATTGCCAAATAGTATATTTCCTTCCATAATCTTCTCTTCCACAATAATCAGTTGACAATCCAATCATTTATTTACTCATATTATTACTTACCTATATATTTATTTAGAGCTTTACTGATAAATGACTGATATACAATAATCAGCACATATTTTGAATGTACAATATGATAAATTTTGACAAATGTACATAACCAAGAAACCAACACCACAATCAAGATAATGAACATATCCCTCACCCTGAAAGTTTCCTTGTGACCTGTTTACCCTTCCAGTTTAGCTGGCCCTGCGTCCCATTCCTAGGAAACTGATCTTTCTTCTGTGACTACAGTGTGCATTTTCTAGAATTTTATATAAGTGGAATAATAGCATATGTAGTTTTCCCTTTGGCATGTTCTTTCACTCAGCTTAACTTCTGAAACTCAACCATGTTGTGGTATGTATCATTTCATTCTTATTCATACTGAGCAGTATTCCATCGCTTGAGCCCATGTTTTTGTATTTTTTACTTATTCATAGCCCATTTTTATTTACTCTTGAGTGAGCTTTGATAGTTTGTGTCTTTCAAGGAATTAGTTCATTTAACTTATGCTGCTGAATTTATTGGCATAAAGTTGTTCACAATATTCATTTATTATCATTTTAATGTCTTCAGAATTTGCTGCTGTGTAACCTTTCTTATTCTTGATATTGGTAATTTTTGTGCTCTTTTTTTCTTGATCAGTCTGCGCAGAGATTTCTATTTTATTTATCTTTTTTTTTTTAAATAGATTTAATTATGCCTACAAGAGCTGGGGTACAGGCCAGAGGTGCGGGGGTGAGAGGATTCACCAGAGACAGAGTGGGGAACAGAACAGGCAGATTGATCGAAGTACACTGCTGAGGGGAGCAGCAGGTGAGTCAGGAGAGGTCTGCTGCGCTATGTGAGATGCTCCCTGGCCAGCTGGAGGATAGAATTCGTGCTGCAGAGGCCGCGGATTGCTTCATAAATTGCATCTTAACCCCTTGCGCCACGAGGGAGGCCCTATTTTATTTATCTTTATAGAGAACCAGTTTATGGTTTCTCTGGTTTTCTCTACAATTTTCCTATTTTATTTATTTCCATTCTGATTTTTATTATTTACTTTGTTGTTCTTTGGGTTTTGTTTGCTTTTTTCCCCCCTGGTTTCCTATGATAGAAGCTAAGGTTACGAATTTATAACTTTTTTTTTTCAAATATAGGCATTTCATGCTAAACATTTTCACTTAAGTAAATGTTTAGTTTTACTTAGAAAGTACAAAGTTTTCAAATTTTGATTTATGGTGCTTTAGTTTTCATTCAGTTTATACCATTTTCTAACATTCTTGCATTTTTTCTCATTATTCTATATGAGGTTTAATGAAAGTATGTAATTAAGTTCCAAAAATGTGGTGGATTTTCCAGAAATTATTTTATTATTGATTTCTAATTCAACTGTGGTTGTCTGGAAAAGTTTTTTTCTTTAATTTCATACCTGTTTTTAAAAGGCATTTTCACTGGTATAGAATTCTAGGTTGACAGTTTTTAAAAGTACTTTAAAGATTTTCCTAAACTGTCTTCTGGCTTCTGAGAAACCTCATCTCATAATTACATTTTGTCCTTTGCATGCAATATGTCTTTCATTGCTTAGCTATTTTTAAGCAAGATTTTCTCTTTTGTGACTGGTTTTACATAATTTGGTTATAATGTACCTTGGTATAGTTCTCTTCATTATTCTTGTATTTGAGGATCAATAAGTATCCTAAATTTGCAGTCACCCTTATGCTGCTCGGAATATGACACCCCATGCAGGCTGTTGATACCACCTCTCCCCACATGGATGCCTGTTATCAAATTTGTCGATTCTTCTTAGTAATATTGGTGAAAATGGTATCTCAGGGTAATCTTAATTTGTATTTCTCAAGTGAAGCTAGGTACCTTAATAGTTTAAAGCTCACTTGTATCTTCTTGTATGATCAGATCTTTTGTTCAATTTTTATATTGGTTTATTGATCCTTTTTTATATTGATTTATCTATATCTTTCTATATTTTTTATAATGAGAATGAATTTGGGGGGGCAATAAGAAAATACAACATAAAGTTCCTTTTAATAAAAAAAAATGCTTAAAAATTCATTTCTGGTATCAAGAAAATACTCTTGGTCCATGGTAGTGAGTATTTTATTATAGCTTCTCAGGGACTTCTTTTCACTTCTCTTTGTGGTGAAACTTGCATAACAGGGAAAGTGTGAGCTTAAAAGCCTAAGAGTACTCTGGGCTACCTATATTCTGGCCACTAGGTATGGAAAAAGCCACAAACTCTTATCTGTAGAGAGACTTGTGGCTCTATCTTAGTCATCACTTCATTGAATCTTCTAATGGCCGTGGGAAGCTAATAGATTATTGATAATGATCCCCATTTTACAGATTTTGAACTTGAGGCTTTGAAAGGTAAAGTATCATATAGAAGGCTGGATTTAGAAGTTAACTAAAAGATGATTTTAGTTCATGTACTCAGGATCCTATAATTAGTAACTAGCAAAGCTCTGGCTTGGACCAGGGTGCTCATCCTACTAGAAAAATTAAAGTGAGGACCATTATCACTCAAGTGGTCAAGAGAGGATGAGTGGTTTCTGCCCTTCAGGAGACTGCAGGCCAAGCCTTTGATAGGCTAGGATTGGGCAGGCATAGAGTGCGAGCTAGAGCCTAAGGTCTATCTATGCTCACCTTTGGCAGCAGTCAGCATGGTGGAGGCCAGTTCACACTGCTGTGATTCCAAGTGTCCAAGCGTGAACCAGCGAGGATAACGGCTGGGCACCACAGACACCATATGGTGAGGGTGGGATGTGTCGCCTGTAGTAGTTGAGTTTTCTAGAACAGGTAACCTAGAAGATCCAGGGAGAGTCATCAGCCACCATCCAGACACTTGCCATTCTGAGCCACTTGTTCCTTAGAACTTGTTCTTTACAGAAGCTTGTTCTTTGCTGGGGAGGAACTGGGTGGGAAAGGATTAACTAAGCTTTGAAGGTATTAAAATCTAGAGTGAAGTAACTCTATGTGAGGTCAGTGGGCACCTGTAGAACTCAAGATGAGCAGCTTTTACTAAAAATGAATTTTAAAAGCAGTTCAAGAGCCATAGATTATTTTTTCCAAGTATAAGAAATATATGCCAAGAAATCCTCAGCAGTCTTTTTCTGGTTGAGCTGAGGAGTTCTCTCAGCCTGGTGATATAAATAAAATTCTTCTTTTTTATGGTCTGCTACATTCTAGACGTCAACCTGCCAGATTCAAGGAGCCTATTGTAGTTTGGAAACAAGAAGTCCAAAGTCTAACTGTTCCCAAGTCTTGGTATAGACAGATTTATTTCTACTTCTTCCAGATGCATTTGGTGGCCTGTGCCTGACTTATGGTTATGACTTATAGAAGAGTTTAAACACCTTCACAGGCTGCCTAATGCCCCAGAATACGAAGACTTAGGTCTTAGGTGCTTCATTCCTATTAAAAACTCAGGAGATTCTCAGAAAACCCACCAAGAGTATATAGCCAGGGAGCCAAGTAATAGGTTAACATCAAGGAATCCCAGATAGGAAGCCTAGAGCATACGAAAATATCTGAGGCATTTTAGGTTGGCTGGCAGGTTCAACAGAATAGACAAAAGGGGAAAGAGAAGAAAGTGAGATAAACTAAAAGGCATCTTGGAGATTTCTGATTTGGTGGAGGCAATTGGACTGGGAAAGGGTTACCCACCTCATGGCACGTAAGGCTAATTTATAGGACAGGTCTGGATCATGAGGCAGCAGTGCTGAGAACAAATACTTGGCAAAGGTATGCATGGGAACACTTTCTCGGTGGATGACTTCTCCCAGGCCACTGAAGGGGCCCCCTGTCGGAAGAAGATAAGCCAGCTAGTTATTTATCTTCATACTTCTGTTTACCAGCCTGGACTTGATACCGAGGATTCCAAGTGTATTTTCTAGTTATGGGGTACCTTTCCAACAAGTAAGCATCAAAAATGATACACACCTATACTCTGTTAGAAAGGGGAATCTAGAGTCATAGGCCGAAGACACTGTGACAATAGCCCTTATCTACTTACCTTCCAGGAGTAAGATACACTGTTTCTGCAATATTTGGACTAGCTCATTGTCCAGCTGTAGTTCCTGGAGTCGACTCAGGAGCTGCTCCTCATTACGGCACACCTTGTCCTGTGCATAGAGGCCTTCAGGCATCACCCTCTGTTGACCCATCCCCATCAGAGCAACTTCCAGGGCCAATGACAGGTAGGACTCACTGCTGTTTGGGCAATCTGCAGCCACAGGTACATGCTGATACACAGGGGGTCTGCTTTCATTCATATCTGAGGGGCAACAGGGCATGAGATTCCTTAGGTGACGCCCTGTGGATTCTTCTGCTCCTCTTTCCCTCCCACTTTGGGATACAGGTTGGTCAATAGATATCACAGGGAAGCTGTGTCAAAGCCCCAGAGCAGTAAAGAGAAGGTTACATAGTACTAAAAAATGTTACATAGAGACACAAAGATTCCTAGCTCATTTCTAATGAAATGATTAGGCCAGTAGGGGAAAGTATAAAATCTTACACTAAGCTTTTGCTAGTACATTACGTAATATCATAATTATCTATGTTTTTATGTTGTCTCTTTCACTAGAATGTGAGCACCTAAAAAGGAAGAGACTTTATTTTATTGCCCTAAGTATTTCCAGCACCTGGTATGTGAAAGGTAAGTGGATGTCAGTGGTGAATAAATTCATATGATAACTCAGGTTTTCAAAATGTAAAAAGATGAAAAGAACCAAAAATTGATTCCCTTTGCATAGAATCAGAGGATCTCTACCTAAAGAAATCTGTATCTACCCAGTTAAACTATTATTTTTGTAACACTTGCAACTTGTATGTGATCATTACCTAGTATCATCTATCTCTGGGCTCAAAGTTTCAGGAAGTTAACACAGATTTAGAAGTCAAAATCTTGATTCTCCTTTCCTCCCCCTTCATGCATCTGGTAAGTATTTATGAAAGATTATTAATTCAATAAGTTGACAGTGTAGTAAGCTATATTCACTTGTAAACAAATTGTAACAAAATGTAATGTATTCTCCTTATTTGAAAGTACTAAATTTCTTCCCTTCTATTTCTCATTTGTAAAACTGGTACATGAGAATATTCAAAGGAAACGTAAGAATATTATGCAATTGCAAGGGATACACACAATCTTGATGGATGTTCCTTCCCATTTCCAGATTGTTATAAGAACTTGGTCTCTGGCCTCTTAAATTCTTCTAGCCCTTCTTATTCCCATTGGATCATACTCTTTAGGCATTCATAGTAGGGAAGTAGGCGGAGCAAAGGCAGGCTGGCAAAGTGAAATGGGAAAGCAGAAAGGGCCAGTCCACAAGGTAGATAAAAGAAAGTGGGAGAAAGGAAGACAAGGAAGGCTCTCAGAGTAGGTCTAGTTTAGACAAGTGAAAAAAAGGATGCAGGAGAGAGGTAGTATAGAATCTAGCAGGGAGGCAGGGTTACCAAGGCCACTTCTGGCTTGCCTCAGGCTGACCCTTATACCTGACACTTCCAGATAACCATCATCATTCAGGCGGCAGGCCTCAGTCAAAGTCAGAAACAGGCAGCCAATGGGATCCAGGGGGTGACCCACCCAGCCTTCCAGGTTTGTGATGGTTGTGGTTCCTCTTTGCAACAGTTCTGGGGAAAAAAAGGTCAAAGTTTTAGAAAATGATAGGGACACCTTACTTGCTCTCCCTGCCTTGTCTTCTCATTAGGCTCTCTCAGATCTTTGTCCGAGACACAAAGACAAGCTTCCCTCATTATTCTGTCTTGGATTTTAGGATTAGGCATAAGGTCATCAACCAGCTGCAAGGTTACGTGGTCTTACTCAAGCTGCCTACTGGAAGCACACATATGCAGGTACAGTTTTATGGCTTAAAAAGCGTCTTTAATAAAAATCAACAAGCAACTATAGACACACTACAGGGGTGGGGGGGTTGGAGTGAGGGACGGGGAGAGGAAGGACCAGGGTCAAAATAAGGGGGGGGGGTGCAATTGTATGGGGAATATAACCAAAATGAAAATGCATACATTGTGCAAAAATGAAAAATGATGTAAGAATTATATAAAATAAAATATTAAAAAAATAAAATTTAAAAAAATTTAAAAGGGTCTTTGCTCACCAGATCTTAGAAGGCTTTCTGATTGCTCTATGAGAGAGACAGCCCACATTATTCCCATTTTACAGGTTAAAAAAAAACCCTGAGATTCATAGAGGTAAAGTGGGGTACTCTACACAGCAGGTGGAGTGACTTGGAATGACTTGGAATCCCCTATCTCCTGCCACACCATTAAACTTGATGAAAATTAAGTACTAGATTTTGTAACCCCTAAGGACTCTCATCAGCCTCAGTATAACAGGTTAAGATGACTCCTAATCACTATACCTTTCTTCTGATGCTTGTAGATTTCCAGCTGTCGTTGCTGCTGTAACCTTAGAGTATTGATAATAGCCACTGTGAGCCTGAGGGCCTCTTTTGGATAACCATGAGAACGCAGGGCATCAACCCGAGCACAGGCTGTAGGCACATGCTCTACCAGATGAGAAGAAAACATTTGGGTTGAGTTAATTTTTTTTAATCAAGAAAATTCATGCTTGACACCAAGGGAATTTGTGTTCAGTTCAGTTCCTCAAATTCAGTCTGACATGTAATGTATACCAAGAACTGTGTTTTACCTTTTAAGAATATAAAATTAAGTAAGTCACAGGTTCTACTTTAAATAGCTACCTTGCAGCCACAGTGTTTATGATGTAAAAAAGGACACACAACTAGAATAAAATGTAATGCCATTTTGTTAACATGTCCTAGTAACTAGCTGTCTAAAGGGAAAGGCTTCATTCACTTGCCTTACAGTTTCTGAGACTATATTAGATGCTACATAGTATGCTGGGCAAAGAAAGTATAAAAATGAGTAAGAAATGGTCACTTCCCTCAAAGAGAACACAAATAATAAACAGATCATTAAAAAACAGTTAAAAGGAAATGACATAATAGAAATACATAGAGAAAATAAGATTTGAGCTGTACTTCATAGGACAAGCAAGATTTATAATAGGTAGACAAACATTACTGGCAAAGGGAACACATAAGTGAACACCATGTAAGTAAAAACATAAAAAGTACTCTATATAATATCTTTAAAATATGGGAATTAGGTTATGTGGTTAAAGATAACGTGGAAAGGTAAAATTTGGAATGTAAAATCTTTTGAATGCCATACTAAGGAATTTGGATCTACCTTAAGGATAATGGAGAGCTGCCAAAAGCTTATAAATTGGCAAAGACTATAATGAGACTTATGCTTTATATTGTAATTTCTTTTAGAGATAACATTAAAATTATAGAATTACAGAATATTTCAAAATATAAAATAAAAATCAGAGGTAACTATTGATTCTAGTTTCCCATAAAGACATTTTACTTGATTCTAATAAAATGAAATATTATAATTATTGTTTTGAAACTGGGTTTTTCCATTTCACACCTTGTAAGTATTTGTCATTAAATATACTTCTATTACATTTAAAATGATTAGTCTACTGAGTATGTATATTATCCATTGAGTCAATCAATCTCCTATTGTCAGACATTTAGATTGTTTCCAACTTTTCTCACCCGGACTTTATTACATCTATGCTTTATGAACCCCTGTGGATTTATGCATATTCTTAATTAGTTAGTGCTTAGGGTTAATTCTTAAACATGGAATTTTAAAGGCTTTTGATAAGTGTTGTTGAAAAACCATTCAGAAACTGCTGAACATTTTACATTCTGACTGTTAATATATGAGAACACCTATCTCCAGGCCACCCCACCCACACTAAAAAGGAATTATCTTTATTTTAAAATTCTTGACCATCTGACAATCAAAAATGTTAGTATTGTTTTGATCTGCATCTTATTTATTAAAAGGTATATATTTTTTCACATGCTTGTTAGCTTTGTATTTTAGATGTGTTGGATCAGAGTAGAGTAAAATACAAAGAGAACTTTAGGTAGTGACTTTGGCAAAGACTTTGAAAAGAGAGAGGACATATTCAGATTCAGCAAAATCTTGAGAAAGTCAAAGACATTGGTGAGGGACAGTGGTAGGGAGTTGGAAGAAGATAACAAAAAATGTACGTCATTGTAATAAGACTCAGAAAATTAAAACTGAAAAAAAAAACATCTATTTCGGAATGAGCATCTGTGATAAAGTTAAGAATAGATTGATAGAAGGTCAGAGGAAGGTTTAAACTCATGATGGAGCAGCCTTATTCTATTATGGTGAAGGAAGGAAGGGAAGGTGGGAAGGAGGAAAGGAAGGCAGTTTGATGACAAATACAGATTGTGCTCTAGCTACTAGCACATTACACAGGGTAATTTAGGTTTCAAACCTAGTGCCTTTTTTACAAAACATATAATTTCAGAGTAGATTATAGTGTTGCTCAGTACTGTTGGCTGAGAAATTCTGTGAACTGATGTCTAGTGGTTTTGTTAGTACTTTTTGAGATTTATTAACTTCTTTTCTCTTCCAAACTTAGGAAACAGAATATAAATTTCTCTTTGAGGTTATTATACCTCAGCTGACTATGTGTGTGCATGTGTGTATAAATATATATACAAATGGCTCAGGCTTCACATATATACCCTAAGGCTCTAGTTAAGGCCCCCAAAGATCTGTATGAACGCTGTCCAAATTGCAGTTATGGTGTGGGTACCACTATAGATAGCTCATCCAGGTTTGGAAGGAAGTGAGATTGGGCTTTAAAATTCTTAGAGTAGAGGAGAGATACACTTACCAAGCCACAGTGGCTGGCCTCGGGAATTAAAGAGTAGTCTCTCACTTTCCCGCTGGCAGGCAGGAGCTGTATATATATCACTACTGATTATTCGCTGTAAGTGACTATCTTGCCAGTGCAATTCACGGCCCTCGATGGCTCTAGTGAACACTGTTCGTCTTGGCCTGGATAAGGAGTCTGAGAGAGAAAGAAATATAGCTGTCAATAGTGGGCAATTTTAAGTTCTGGGTCTTCTTCAGGATGGGAGAATGGACAGAAGAATAGTATATGGTTAGTGAGAACCGTGACTCTGCTATCTGGGTGTCTGTCATGCTGCCTCTCTGTTGGGTAGCTTTTAGTGTGTTTGTGCCTTCAATGGGAAGAATCTTTCCACAGAGATCTATGGTTGTCTTTCTACAGAAAACATTCTGAAGGTATATTTCTTCTAGGACCCAGTACTATATGAAAGAGAGGGTTAGTGATTTCAGTTGTTCGGTGATGAGGATACAAACTGCTTCTATTGAAGTGAGAGGAAGAAACAGCTAGGTAATTTCCCTGGTCTATCCATATTTGTCTCATTTACAACACAACCCTTATCAGACTAAGAACTTACATGAAATTTGTATTAAAAGCAGAAAAGGAACTGAAGCCCTGTGCATATTGGTACCTTTATCACATTGATATTTGTAGTGTTTTAGCCTTGTTCTCCAATAAGAAAAAATAATGCTGATAAAGGACTAACTTGTTTTCTTATTAAAAAACAATGCCATCTTGCTTCGGGAAAAGGGTTGCAAGGGATCAAAACAGCAGACAAAGTAGTTAACGTCTTAAGAGTGGTGTGTAGGAAGCCTAAATAGAACATACACTATCATAAACTGTGGCTATAGAAATGACATTAAAGAAACAAACAAAAAAAAACCCATGGAAGGCTCATTTAACTGACTCTCTACCAGATTAAGGGCAGCTGAACCAATTTTGGGATTAAGAATTGAAGTATAAGATGGATGCATCTCTTTAGAACTTGATATGTTCCACAGATCATAGGTGCAGTAGATTAAATCAGAATAGCACTGACAGTATTTACTGAAATTGTTTCTTCTTCATGTTGTCCTTCAGTGGAAGTACAATGACCCTTCTACTGGCTGCAGTGTAAGTCCTCCTTCTGAACTGAGAATCCACCATGGGGCTGCTTGGCCCACAGTGGGATTGACTACACTCTCAATATTTTTTATAACTCATTCAGTCAGCATATAATGAGTACCTACTAATGGTCTCTAATAAGGTAAAATTCATACAAAGACCTAAAGGAATTAAAAGGCAGCCCTTAGACATAAGCGAGGGAAGAAAATTCCAGGCAAAAGGAATAGCAAATGCTACGATCTTGAGGTGGGAACATATTTGGAGAATATGTGGGCAGTAAGGAAATCAGTATACTTGGAATGGAATTAGCATTCATGCGATGAGGTCAGAGAGACACCATGCAGTTAGATATGGAAAGCCTAGAGAACATGAGGAAAGATGACTTTAGCTTTTTGAGTAAGGTGAGAAGTCATTGGAGGGCAGTGAGGTGTTGAAGTATGTGATGTGACTTCCATTTTTTTTTTTTTAAAGAATTTTTTTTTTTATAGAGGCATGTTTTATTTATTTATTTGTTTGTTTGTTTTGTTTTATACATGCACTGGGTACAGTCAGAAGCGCGGGAGGGTGAGAGAATTCACCAGAGCCAGAGCAGGGAGCAGAGCAGGCAGAAGGACCGAAGTACACTGCTGAGGGGAGCAGCGGGCGGCAGGAGAGGTCTGCGCGCCATGTGGGACCCTCCTCCGGTGGCCGGGGAGCAGCCGGGGATCGAACCTGCGCCGCAGAGGCCGCGGGCAGCTTTGCAACCCAGCGCTCAACCGCTGAGCCACTGGGGAGGCCCATGACTTCCATTTTAAAAGGATGACTGGCAACAGCACTGAGATCAGACTGTAAGGTGAAAGGGTAGAGATAGAAGTCAGATGGTCACCGCAATAATTTGTGAAAGATGATAATAACTTGGCAGAGTAAACAGCATGGGGGTGAGGAGAGTAGGTGGAT